ACATTCTTTTAAGCCTTTTCCGACCACTGGTGCAGGAGAGGACGAGCCATGACTCATGACAAGTCTGTTTCTTTGGATGACACCCAAGTCGTTTGCACCTGCTATCACCCGCTTCACACCCGCGTCATAGGATTCGGTCGACACCAAGCGCCTAGTCACCGTGGACTTTGCGGCCACCGTGCCCAATGTTTCGCAGCGGACATCGGGAATGAAGAGTCTCTGGTTGACATTTTCGCAGCGGACATCTTGCAATCCACATAGAGACTGTGGTGTCCGTTTGGCCGATGCCAAAAAGTCGAGGAGGCGGATCCATCATGGAATCCACAAGAGTTCCCCCATCAAGTCATGATCTTTCCAAGCTCTTCTCTGCTGTCCATGCAGAGATGAAGAGAAGAATGCAGCAACCGTTCAGAAATCAGTGTGCGCTTTTGCCTCCTTCAGCAAAGAAGGTCAAACAAACAGCTTTTCGAAGTTCTAAGGTTCTAAGGTCTCTAAGGTCTGTGCTGTGACTGACGAGTATTGTCGTCACCAGCATTGTCGTCACCATTTATCCTCCAGAACTAGTGTGTTGGCGCAAAAACGTTGCTAGAAGGAGGTGTTGTCCCTGACATGTTTTGTGTTGTATCATTTCGCTTTCGGGAGGTACACACTTCCTTGCCCTGGGAATTTGTACCCCAACAGCGACGCGTAGTCGTTGGCCTTGGGGAGCCCAGCGGAACGTGGGAATCGCTCTGGTTTCTTCGGGGTTCTAGGCCAGGATTTCTGCCCAAGTCACCCAATTCATAGACGCTCCATGTACTGGTAGGGAGAATGACCTGTCTAGAGGCTAGATGCATTTCAGAGGCATCAAAGTATCCCTTCACCTTGTCCACTTCCCAAAAGAGAACGTCCGCTGGATGGACCAAAGAGGGGTGTGTCTCCAATGCTCCAGGAGACAGCGCTGGCGTTCTATCGTGCCAAGCCGGAAGCCTCAACATGCTGGACACCAAATAGAAGCTCCGAACATGCTGGACATCAACAAGCCGGGTTTGTCTTAACATCTGAGTCTGGAATCTGGCCTCACCACATGTTGCTCAACTCGAGACTCTGATCCAACGACAAACCAACCCGGGACCTCTCAGCTGTGATTGGGAATCCTAAGTATGTATATATGTTTATAGAGATATGTATAGATTTATTGACAATGTCCTCATGTTGACCATTCCTCTTCCAAGATCTTGTGCACCCGTGTGGTGGTCATTCATGTCCTGAGGAATACCAGCGACCGACCCATCATCGGAGTCTCTGTGTACCACATGATTCCTGCAGAGGCCAAGACTTGGGCATTCTTGAATCAAGTGCGAATGGACAAGACATCTGGACATCCAAACTGTATGGTTGATGTAGGTTTTGCCGAAGTTTTTTTTGCGGATTCTCTCGCACACCCAATGAACGTCGCTTTAGTGGTTTGGTTTTGTGTTCCTTAAAGGAGCTTGTCCTGTAGAGGACAATCTTTTGCAGCGTAATTTGGTGCGTGCCGATTCGCTACATTGCTGGAAGTCAAGTGACGCACTTTTATTTATCGCCGCTTCGCTTCATTGAATGACAGCTTTGTGTTCACAGAGCATTTATGATGTTTATGAACGGGATGTTGCTCAAGACCCTGGTTAGTTGAACCTGACATATTTGCTAAGCCTTCCAGATTCAGATTGCCAGGTTCACCCCCATCCCGTGCGCAAGCGAGTTCTGGTTCTAAAGGTGAACACGCGCTTGTGCTCACCTATTTCCAAATGATTTAAAATGAGGACTTGCCTGTTTAATGAGGACTTGCTCCACACTGGCTCAAGAGGTTCAACAAAAAGTGTTTTGTCAAGACAGCAGACCCGTCTTGGACAGTCTTTGGACCCAAGGAAGGATCATATTTACAGCAGGGTGAAATTAACGGTCTTCCAGACACTAGCGTTCACAGGCCGGCCTCTATTTCAACAAGTGTCTTGGCAGACTCCCACAAGACTGTGACATCCCATCCTCTTTTACGACGCATGCCCAGCAGCTACTCCCAGGCCGACTTTTTCTGTTGGCCATTACTTTTTTGCATTGACACTAATCTGTTATTTACACCACAACCACTTCCAGCAGTGCCAACATGCGTCACTAGAGGTGGTGCACTTGCTGCTGACATGAGAACAATTTCTGGAATAAATATATGGGTTTATGATGGTTTATGTGGAATGCCTTCATATAGTCAAAGCTCCCCTTGTGAAGAGACGGTGTTCGGTGTTCTGTATATGGTTGTTTACCACTTCTTTAGTTTTCCACCCAAATGATCCTGAGGAGATGTGAATGGAAGTACTGGAGTTGATTTGTGGGAGGACACTTCACTTCGGCCCCTCTTCCCGGGCAAACTGTGCAAGTGCTTGCCCCCTGAGGATCCAATGCTTCTGCTTTGACGAGCAGCTGATCAATCCAGGCATAGAGGAGACTTTGAGCATTTGTTATGTTGATGCAGATATGGCAATCATGGGACATGAAGATGGCTCAAGCATTTGAGATATCTGAGCGATGTTTGAACTAAACAGGTTGGTTTTCTTCAGACAAATGCGTCGCGGATATTTTTTCAGGTGAAGAGGTGGATTTGCCAATCTTTTTCTTCATCGCGTCTTGGCACGTCGATTAGACTTTCAGCTTTGCAAAACCAGCCATCGAGACGAATGCTCTGTGCAGAAGAAGCGCAGACAGTGCTGCTTGCAAGTTACGAACCCTTGCTTGCTACTTTAGTCGAACAATCCCAAGAATCTTGGACTTCCCAGGGGACTTCCTGGGTACAGTATCGGTTAAGAAGCAGCTGAGTACTGGGAGGTCATCCATTTTGCAACCCTAGCTGGCCACAAACAGCTTTGCTAAGGATCCCATGATGGGAAAAGATACGTGCCGAACTCAAGATTTGTGAATGCACCGTCAGATGTGCTCGCGCTGGAGGCCCTATGGTGCTAGGGATCTCGACATGGCCGATCTCAGATACAGTGCTCCCTACATTATTGGAGGTTGTTATTCAGGACTTTCTTCCTCAGTCGTTTAGACTGGGGAGTAGAAGCACACATATATATATATATGTTTATTTTTTTCTCGCTCAACCACAATGGAAGTTTGTTTGAGATCTCATGCTTCACTTGTGCTTGAGTACTTGGAGCCTCTTTTAAGCCATCGACGGATCACTCAGCAGACGTGACATCCATGTGTCTCTCTCTGCTTGGTGGTAGTGGTCCTGAAGTTTCGTGCGATCTGCATCCACGTCCCGTTGGGAGATTGGAGATTGTATTTCGCTTGAAAACCCAGATCCTCCATGTCCGGGTCACCGTTGGGTCACTTGGATCATGGATGCGGCCTCAGGCGTTTTGACCACGTGGATCGCATCACCTTGTCCTACCTCTTCTTCGAGTCGGACTCTGAGCTACCAGAGGAGTACGAGGACAGTCCGGGGGCGACGGGGGCAGGGCTGGACGGCTTTGGCGAGCGGATCTCGGGACAGGCGGTGAGAATGTGGGGGGCTTAGGTGACCTCTCATAGCAAAGAGCTTGGAACATCTTGGAACAAGAATTGTGCTAACTTTATGGCATACTTGGTGGTGAACAACCACTGTTGGTGAGCTGTCACCACTGCTCTGCTGCAGGGGAACTAGCAGATAATAAATGTGCCCGTTTTCATTCATTGCTAGTTGCGAAAGATCTGGGTGAGCAAACTCAGGAGTTCAGAAAGAGCTTGCCCTCGAGCTGGCGCCTTAGATGTCAGAGAGGTTGCCTGCGCATTCTACCATGTAAGAGCTGGTGCTGTTGGATGAAAGGAAAACTGCGGATGATCCTCAATCCACTCAAAGGAATGATGGGCTCTTAAATGTAGGCAGTTTTTTTGATGTTCCAGTTTCAGTCCTCAAATCTTCACTTGCAGCTCGATCTGACTGAACCGGACCTGGCTTGAGGCCAAACGCCAAGTGCAGCGCCTGCGCCGGCTCCGTTGCCTGCTCCGGTTGGGACCCTTGGGTCCCTCTTCCATTCCGTTGGAAACACCAGTTGAAAAGAGGACATGTATTTTTTCAGATGAAGCGTATTTTTAAAAACATATTTATACATATTTATACTTTTTCAATCCCAGTTGCAGATAAGGTCCTTTTATGGTGAGTTTCAAATGGTGTGGAGTGTAGAGAATGTCCAGGTAGATGAGCAGTTAACTGAAAAAACCGCACATTTGGATAGGTGTGGATGTTTTGAAGCTCTTAATTTCTTTTAGATCAGTTTTCACATGTTTTCACGTCGATCTGGAGGATTTGCTCGTGGTGCCCATCCCAAGGTCCCTGCCTAGACGAGTTTGGATGCCTTGCTGGCGTTGTGGGCCTTCGGTAGGGTTTCACAGTGGATTCTTGGGGGTTTTTAAAGCTTGTGTTAGCACATTTATCAGTTGCTATCCGGCTGCAAGTGTCTACTGGGTCTACCTGGTACTTCCTCTCAAGCCTGACAAATGAACTTGTCCAGTTCCAAGCATAGGCCTGTATGGCCCCACAAGCCGTGAATCTTGAAACAAGAGGGACGGGAGGGGTTGCCCTCCTGAGGTCAGCGCTGCTACATGACGGCAGCGCAAGAGACGAAAATGAATGAACGACTGGTAGCAATCGGCTGGTAGCAATCGGCAGCACCAAGGAAGATGGAACGTTTCATTGCACAACAAACAAACATTGATTGAATGATCTTGTGGATGCTTACGAAGCCTGGCGAGCCGGGGGGACTTCTTGCCTTGGAGGGGAGAGATTGCAGAACAACTGGCGGTCTCACTGGGCCCTCTTACGTCCGCGGTGGGATGTCACTCTTGTTCCAACGGATTTCCCGGTTGCAGGGTTCCAGTGTTGTTGGCAGTATATTTTTGTCTAGAGTCTGTCGGAAACATGGCAACACAGAGGTTGGGACATTAAGCAGCTCAGTAGCCACCTCGCCTGTGTACTGAATTGACGATACATCTACTGGGACACTTGCGGCCCAAGCTCTGGCGAAGCGGCTGCTTCGCTTCCTCGTGTTGTAAGTGACGTGCACGTTGAGTGCGAAATAGTTCTTTAGCGGGATGCCGCGGGTTGTGGAATTCCTTTTCGCATGGCTGCTGCACAACCACCTGGCCTTGGCAGCACGAATTGCAGGTTCAGATCATTTGCAGCTACACGAAGCCCGTGCGGGGCCTTTCAAGAGACTTGGCAGAAGAAGCCTTATATACTTTCTCAAAGGAGACCCCAAGTAGTGTTTTTGATGACGGTGCCCATTTCATCCAAAAATGGGGGCGGCGGGCGGGTCAACCAATATATATATATATATTTATTATACACATATACCGGTATATATATATAAGCAGCTTTAGAACAACTGATTGATGGAGATTCCGCTGTGATTTTGCAGGCACCATGATGTCTGATGCTCTGTAGAGTAACTGTTTTTTTTTGTTTTTCATGTTTTGACTCGACCCATTGGCTTCCCTGCCCCCCTCTCCTTTCCCTCATCTTGCATGTGCCTGCCCAGTTTCAAGATTCCCTGTAAAGTGACACAGAAATCTCTTGAGAGGATTGTAGATGTCAGTAGAAGCCGCGTCGTGCCATGTTTGCTTCCGCTTTTGGTTTTGAATTTATGATATGTCTTGTGATATGTCAATGTACCCTTTGTGTTTAATACTTCTAGGCTACTAGGTTTTAATGTATTTTTTTGAAACCTAGACTCAATGGGGGAAGTGTAGGACACAAGTGCCTTCGGCGTGATGCGTCTACGCACCGCCATCCAGAGGCCTCAAGGGTTCCGAGCCGGGAATCGAGTTTCGCAACCTTGCCGTCACTGTGTTCGGCTTGCTGACATGAGCGGACAGGCAACTTTGGCTCAAGCGTGACAAAAAGGTGCGCTTGCCTGCAGGTGGTCTTAGATCGGGCTGGAGCCGGAACTAACTTCTTTTGGTTATCAGCCGTAGCTCAGCTACGTGCTGCCCTTAGGCCATCGCCGTTTCGTCCTTCCTCGAGCCCGACCAGTGAGTGCTTCAAGGAGAACGAACTTGCCAAACTCTTGAATATCAAAACTGCCTTGCAGCGCGCTGATCCATTTACTAAGGCACTTCCTGTTGCAAAGTGGAAGGATACTTCAAAGCAATTGAACATCCACTTCAGCCGCAAGCTAGGCGCTCAGAGTGAATCTTCCTGAGGCTGCGTTTCGATCACTATGCCTTGGCACAATGCAAGTGTTCGACACCAAAAGGGGGAGAAGAATATTTTCAGGCTTCACTAACCTTCCACTACAACTGAATAGGGGAAGCCTGAAATGCTGCGTTCGCTTGCACCGCCATCCGAGGCCTCAAGGGCTCCGAGCCGGGAATCGAGTTTCGCAACCTTGCCGTCACTGTGTTCGGCTTGCTGACATGAGCGGACAGGCAACTTTGGCTCAAGCGTGACAAAAAGGTGCGCTTGCCTGCAGGTGGTCTTAGATCGGGCTGGAACCAATTTCTTTTCCTAGATGCTGAAGCTTTCGGGGCTTCAGGGGCAGTAAGTCGGGCCGGGAAGAAAAGGCAAGTTTTCTTGCTTCACTTTATCTTGATGCCTGGACACTGACGTCAGGATGCATCAAAATAGGACTTGAGGGATTAGGTTGGGTTGTGCACTTCAGGACAAGGGTGCCCTGGGGGGGCGGGAACACCACTTCACAACTGCCATCGGTTTCAGGAAGAGTGATCGTATTGCCATTGTGGGCGCGGGTCCCGGCGGAGTCCACATGGCAAGCCGATTGAAGCAATTGGGCTATACCCAGACGACGCTGTTGGAACGCAGCGACCGTGTGGGTGGGAAGTCTCTGACGATCTACCTCAACGAGACAGGGGAATGTGTCCAGAAACAGGAGAAGGGGAAAAGGGTCGCCGAGTTCCTTACTTGGAATCTTTTTTCATCCAGTGTAAAGATGGGCTTGTCTATGTTACTATGTTTGCATGTTTGTCTCAATTCTGGGTGTGTCAAACCTGTGCATTGACCAGCTGTACATTTCCGCATTTGTGGAGACAGAAGCAGGAGGTAACTTGTTTCCCTTCTTCCGCTACAGACAACATCGTCATGTCTTTTCAATTACAAGAGTTGCGTTTGATAAAACACATCCATTCAATCATGTTTGACTCCAGGATCCAGAGACAGGGAAGGTGGACACAACCTCCTGCGTGGCACATGAGATGGGGACCTGCTTCCTTCACAATGGCTATCACACCATCAGGGATTTGGTGGACGAGTATGGCTTGACCCAGATTGCTGCCTGGCGGAGTTACGAGAGCAGATCATACTCGGAATGGTCTTTGTTTGTTTGAATGGCAAACCCCGGGGTACAAACCAACATGCATGACCCTGGATCTTTTTGTTCCAGCACCTAACTATCATGGTACACTACACAAAAACAATGACAGCTGACTAGTCAACTCACTGTCCGGTAGGAGCTGCAAACCCTTGCAAACCAAACAATTTGCAGATAAACAATGCGTCTCTATGAGTCTGGGTCTAGAGTCCTGGTGGGCTGTCGTCCACCAAAACAGATGTAGCCAAGGGATGCCAAGGGACTCGGGACTATGACAATGTGGTCCAGACCAGATGAAGACCCAATTCAACCTGAGGGGAGAAACCACAACCTCACCTGTGTTCCAAGGGCTTTCAAGTGGATTCTTCCACACTGCCAGACAGAATAATTGATTTGTTCAACAGCACCTTATTGAGTTCTTTGTGAAAGATGAGGACCGGCACAAAACAAGAGTGTGACCGAGTGACACTGGTCTGAAGCAGTTCGAACGATGGTGCCAAGTGACGCCTGGACGGTGCTGGGACGTCCGTATCGCCTCAGGTGGCACCCGAGGGCCGTGCCATGTTCTCCCACTATGCGAAGGATCAATACCACTCGCAGACGATGCAGGAGTGAAAATAGGAAGCCTACGGATACCTAAAGAGGAATTTCACAGCTTCACAGGCTCATTGTGAGCTGACTGTGGAGAAGCAGACATGAAAGGACAGGGCAAGTATAGGAACCCAAATTGGACCTTTCACGGCCCATGGTCGGATTGTCAGATTTTGTTCTATTTCTTTTCACTCTTGAGACGCAACATTTTGCAACTTGTTTGATCTCTCACTAATTAGCTTCCATTGCGCTGGTATGCGTTCCATGTGCATTGCATGCGTTCTGCCTACTCTGTTAGCATCCAATGGAACTCATCAATCATCGCCGAAATCACAAACCTGCCAATTCCGGCTAAATGTTGTTGGCACTGTGCGCTCGTGTGAGTCACCTTCATGCAGGGAGACTAAGCATGACCAGAGAGCTTTTGTAAATCGAAGAGGTCCAGAACATATTGCACATGTACATAAATCGTTCAATATCTTTGCTCTGTGAAGAGAGCTGTTTCCGGTCAGATACAAAGACACACGCACACACTTTTGCAGCTGGAGTCAACGTGAGAGAGTATAATCCCGCCACACAAATTTATATAGTCTTCGGATTTTTTGTTTTGCCAGAAGGATGCTCCATCCTCCGTAAAGGACAAGGAAGAACATAAAGCGATAACCCATGTGCCTCTTCATACATATGTGTTTCATCTCCGGTTTGCCTTCACTTCAAAGACAACGAGGAGTGTTGTGTTGCAGTATTTTTGTTCGTGCATAGACATCCATGTTAGTACCAGAAACGAAAGCAATAACGCAACGACACCACCAACGATAACGAAGCGAGCCTAAAGAACCTTCCCGTACACTCGCAAGCTGGCTAGTTTGGGCCATGTTTGCCAGTTCCAGGCATTGCGCATGAATCTGCACAAGTGATGTTGCAGCTAGTCAAAGCAGGGTAAAAGAAAATCAACCATAAGGCCAAACGTGGTATAGGGAAAGGTATCGTTCTTTTTTGGGTTGACAACTGACAACCTCACATGATTATGGCTTTGGGCTTTGGGCTTTGTCCGGTGACTGTGACTTTTCGTTTTTTGAGGAGTTTGTGACTGCCTCCATCATGGATGGGATCAAGAAAGGCACTATCACAGTCCCAGTATGGGCGGCTGAGTTGAACAAAGGGGCATGGGTTTGTTGCACTTGGGCTGATGGGTGGGCTGGTCACCAGGAACAGAAAGGGAATCGGATACTGTGGGATACACTGCAAGTCAAACGTCAGGCACTTTCCGGGTGGATTTCACCTGGATGACAAACTTGGTGGCTCTACCAGCGCACAAATTCAGTTTCATATTTTGGCCGGCAAGCTTCAGCAGGGGAACGGCAGAGAATACATGAGAATACCATCTGCATCACAGTCACAGACAGACCCCGATAAACACTAGAAAACTCTAACTCTGAGGCCGGACAGGTGCTCCACTGCCCTGTGGTTGATGTTGTGGATGCCCTTGAAATCTCGGGTTGTTTTTGCCCCGATTGGGTGCGCCCAGGCGGTGACCCAGAAGCTGAAAGTCTTGGTGGCGCTGGTCTCTGCAGTGAAGCGTTACAATGATCTGCACGAGCCACTGGGATATCATATATATATATATGTGTGTGTGTGTTCGCTCCATTTCTACGTCTACTACTACTACTACTGCTGCTGCTGCTGCTACTGCTACTGCTACTGCTACTGCTACTGCCTCTGCTACTACTACTACTACTACTACTACTACTACTACTACTACTACTACT